GATATCATTGCAATTATCAGCAAATAACTAGAGTAATTTATAAACAAATCTTAATATCACTATTCGTATACGTTTTATCTAAAACATTACAAGATTACTAAAATTGCTTTATAATTATTGTGCATTTTGTCACTAGAAAATCACATTTAAAAAGATGTCTAAGAACGCCCTTAAATTCTTTTAATAGTTTTTCTTCATATTTATTAATTTGGACAGTTTCTTCATCTTTCGTCACCTTTCCTCAGCTTCGTTACCTTTCGTCAGTTCGTCGATGGTGATAGCACAGGATTTATGGAACGCCCCAAGGCATGCCCTCCTGGCAACAAAAAATTAGAAGCATACCCTATAGGGCAAGCACTTAAACTAAAAAAAATAAAGGCACGCACAGTAGAACACGCCTAAAAATTTCTCGTGCCCCTCTCCCTAGCATCATCACCTTTGTCAGTTTCGTCATTTTAAATCAGTTTCGTTATTTCGCCATGACAGACCAATGCTCGACATCACAGATAATGACAACTCAATATATTAACTGTAGGTATATATTGGTAGTAAATTGCCACCCTGTAACATGTCGGTAAACGACTTATACCCGTCTCTCCAGCGCAGACCCTCCAGATTTCGCTTAGCAATCCCTATAAAAATTTTCGAAAAACGTATCCCGACTTTCTCCAGACTATCGTCCATTATCGTTCCGGAAAATGTTTATTTTTCGGAACAAAAATATATAAATCCCTGGTCATTTCCATAGAATCCTGATAAAAATCAAATCCGGATAAGATTCGGCTTCTAATTATAACGAAGTACAAAAGATTATAAGATGAATCTTACACGGATTTGATTTCTATCCGAAAATTACCGGGATTCTATGGAAATGACCGGGAATTGAGCATTTGCCGGAACGATAATCTGTAGAAAGTCGGGATACATTTTTCGAAACATTTTTATAGGGAATTATACCATCTCTAGGATCCTTTTTGTTTGGCATAGAAGATAAATAAGCGAATATTTGTGTCATAATTATTATGTATTTTATTATCATGGCTCGACAACATATCAGCCGACTTTTTAGAAGAATGTCTACGGCAAATCGTCAACTATACACCAGGTCTGAATTCCTGATTAGTAACATTCGAAAGCCGTGGCCACAAAGATTGGGTTACGTATTAAATATTATTCTTATCATCTATTCCCCTTTTATTATATTTGTAAAAAAAAAAACTTATGAAATCAAGAACAGGTATAAATTCTTTTTTGGGTGAAAAAACTAATATAACGATATCGTAATATATAAACAAAGGGCCACATCCATATACGGCAGTGTGAAATACCCGATGTTAGAGACAGAATCCTACATGACCACTGGCCACTTCTCATACAAAATTTTTTCGCTAAAGAATCTAACGGAATTCGAAGTTGGAATTGAATTTATTTTTGGATTTCCATATTAAATTCGAATTCAATATACTTAAATTTTATTAGAGTCGAAAACTTGGAGAGTGAGCCAAAAAACTCCCATAGACCTTCATAATTATTCCATCTTAGTTTGAACTATCGTAGTCAACAAAATTCCTAGAAATAATAAAAATTCAATTAAAAATCGAACCTATTAAATTCTCATAATGATAATGTAAATTCTACTATTGTTCTCAGGTCAAAGTGAAGAAACATTTTTTTGTAATCAAGACCGAAACATTATTTTAGTTCATTAGCCTTAACATTTAATCATCATCGACAGCATTGAATTTTACATAACAGCCACAAAATCTAAAGTATTATTAACCTTTTTTTATCTCCTATATAGTTGTTATTGGATGTTTCCCGTCGGAATCTACCAAAAATGTTAGATAACATCTTTACGTATTAATATCGATATAAATCTAATGCGTTAAATTGAGATAAAAAAATGCTATCTCGATATGGTTGTAAAATAACTGATAAAATGATCACAGATCATGAGACAGAATGTAATTGGCTTAAAACGAGAACCAATCAATGGGTATATTCATAAATTATAAACATGCACAAAGTATTTTGCATATAGTATGTACAAACTACAGTCGTACGCTCGTACGTACGTAAATACAGGTCGTCTCAGGTTAAACTCGACGATTTTACTTCGGTTTTGGTTCCATATAAACGTGGACATTTTTTACCATTAATACAATAACAATAACTGGTAGCTTTCCAGTTGGAATCGAAAAAGTCTGGGTCAAAAAAAAAAAAACCAATTTCATGCACTGATTTAAAAATAGAGGTTAGTTTAAAAGATTCTAGGACTTCAAATATTTTGCTTGTTGTTGACCATTATTACTTTAATTAGCAACTTATAGAAAATCAACCATTACCATGCAATTCTCATCAGCAAATAACGATTCTTCACTTCACAACGCAGGAGATGCAAATGCCAATCCTTTTGAAATTTCTGCAGACGAAGATACTATTTCTGCAGATCCCAATATGACAATAGAATCTGATGATGTAGACCTTTCGTCCGCTCATTCAAATACATCGACTACTCCAAAGTCAACAACAACCGTTAATACAGATACACAATCGCCTCCTGTAGTAGAGACCAGTAATCAATCCAAACATTATGCTTCTGGTACCTTAGATGAACCAGTTTCACAAACTATTGTAGGTTTAAAACTTTTATAATTCTATTTACATTTGCGTAATTCTCATAAATTATTATAACATTTAAGCTTCGAGACCTGAAAAATGTTGCAGTTAAATTGCAACAAGTTCTTCATCCAAAGGGGAACAGTGATGTTTTACGAGATTGTAAATATATTCATGATTATTGTTGCTATTTATTCATTGCTTTCGTTATTAGTTGGATTAAATCAGTTCGCATTTTTATTATTATTTAAAAGGGGATTTGTGGGGTCCATTAATTCTTTGTTTGTCACTAGCCATGTAAGTGTCACTGTTTTATACGAAAATATTTCTTAATCTCTACGCCATTCTAATATTATTGTTAATAATATTATAGATTATTGGGTATTAGTGCAAAAAAAGATCAAGAAATTATGGTGTTTACTGGTGTTTTCATCATTGTATGGTTTGGGTCAGCAGTCGTGACGATAAACGCGAAACTTCTAGGGGGCTCAGTGTAAGTTGTAATTAATTAATTGCTCTAATTTATGAATTAACCTAATATATACGCTCATAATTTTTTATCGGTGAATTTAGGTCTTTTTTTCAAAGTGTCTGTGTTCTTGGTTATTGTATATTTCCTTTAGTTATAGCAGCATTTATAGCAATTTTTGTTAAAATGGTCTACGTAAGGTTACCTTTGGTGGTATTGGCATTTCTATGGTCATCTTGGGGTGAGAAGCTTTTCTTACAAGTTTAATTTGATGCATATACACGTCACTCTGGTTATATCGGCACCTCAAAAAAATAAAGAATTGTCCGATATATCCAGATGTCAAGTTTAACCAGAGGCATTAAATATATAGGTTCAAATTTTAAAAAATGTCGGTATATCCAGATGCTGATATAACCAGAGTAACGTGTATTAATTATTTCAGACTACTAATATTTCACTATCTTATTTTCTTTATAGCATCAATTAATTTTCTATCATCATCACATTTATCAAATCGTCGGGCATTAGCTGTGTATCCATTGTTTTTATTCTATTTCTCTATTGGTTGGATGGTATTAATTTTATAGAACCTTAAAATTTTGAACTTAAATAATATGCATATAATAGGAGAATATTTTTATCTATTTCAGTATTTAGTTTTGTTTTAGTACATATATTATGTAAAAAAAAAAAATTAGGAATAAAAGTATTCTCTCTGTTACGATTTGTGTATTGAGTGACTTATTACTTTTTACGAATTAGTTGGTGTCGTTTTTACTTCTCTCCATCTAA